CCCCAAAACCCCAAAACCCCAAAACCCCAAAACCCCAGTCTGTAACTTATTATTGAAACAACCTGAGTGTAATATTGAGTAAAAATGAAGACTGCACAAAACTCCCATTTTAACAAATTTGCTGCTAAAATGGCAAAGAAGAAAGAAATTACAAGAAAAATTTTAGCAAGAAACAAGAACAGAGGAAACCTGACCTTCCTGACACGCAATAAAGCATTGTCAAGGTTAGACTTTAAGGCACAAATTGAATCTGGAGTTTACCTGAAAGACATCACACCTAGAGAGAATCGATATGGAACTCCAATGGCTAGGTACTCTGAAAAGAACTTCTCTAGTCCCACTCTGAAGGTTAACAATGGTATGTCTAATTAGAACACGCTTTGTTTCTTTCCCAGCACTTTAGTTAACTAATGAAGTAATGGGATCGAACTGATCTAATTTATACTAGTTTTTTAAGGGAGTGTTAAAAAGAGGAAACTAAAGCTTTTATGAAGGCATAGAGGTTGCCAGCATAAAATAAGTAATTAATAAAGTATTTCATGGTTCCTTTCAGATATTTTTCAAAAATACGACTGCTTATAAAGTTTAGAATAATTTTAATATGAACCAGTTTACCTTTTGTCTCTAAATTACTACTAACTCTTTAATGAAGCTAAATCCCTTAGCCTCTATCAGCAATAGAGAAGGAATCATATTGTGTGAGTAATTATTTATATCCCTTCGACTATGCATGATCTTCTTTGTGTTTATCAAATAAATATAGTGTTATCTTGTATTTATACTTAACCCTCATATTCTAAACACTTTTTGTTGTTCTCGCTTAAGTATTTTTGAATAATATATTATGGCTATATTGAGAAATAAACAAAAGAGTAGAGCCTGGTTGCTAAAGTTATCTAGATTTCTTCATTTACTTGCTTTCTTCCGATTCTAAACAGTAAGAAGTTCTTTATAATTTTTTATGAAATATAACTATCAGAAAAAGTAAACCATGTGAAGCCTAAATTATTAATGGGAAGACTCTTATCAATCCCCATAAAAATATAGCACCTTGATTCCCAGAATTATTTACTCTTTAGGAATAAATGTTTGTCAACTCATAAACACGACTGCTTACATTTTATAGAAAATATTGGCCGTACTCCTAAATGAATTAAGAATTTAAGAAAAAGCAAGAATGATTTACCCCCACTCCACTCTACTGTGGAGAAGAAGAAAGATATTAGACTATCTCAAGGGCGAATCCACCTTAAGTCTTTTGCAAGTATTAAGAATTTTTCTTGCAATGAAAGAGCTCCAGACTCTGAAATAGAGAGTAAAAGAGACAGCGGGTTTGAAGAATCTCATCACCTTAAGAGAAATAATAACTTTGAAAAGACATCCACTACAACCCCTAGCAATACTAAGACTAAAACTACTAAGAGAAACAATGTGAAAACATTGCTTCCTTTATCTAGAAAGGGGACTCACAACACTCAAACAAGTCCAATAAGCATAACTAAGAAAACTAACTTACCTCAATTGTCAATCAAAAGTGAATCGAATCTGACCATTAAAGAGAGTATGTTGGATAAGGACTCCCGAGAAGATTCCATAATTATGCTGAAAGATCTTATGGAAAAAGAATTGGCTAAATCTGAGAAAGAAATCGAATCCTTCGGTAAAGAATTCGAAAACCTCGTTGAAAGTTGAAGATACACCATTACCCAGAAATATAAGAAATTAGCTTGCGAGATATCGAAGAACATATTAAACCAGGATCCTGAGCTGCTCATCAATTCAACTAAACATGCAAGTAAAGACACGACTGAGTTGTTCAACCGCTTGAGTGCGTGTATCCAGAACTGTCAGAGGGATAGTAATAACTTTGAGTATCAGTTCAACTTCTTCAAAAATCGTTTGATCTCTGTATATAACATCGTTTTGTACAAAATACCAAAAATTAACTTAAACAACAACTTGAGTAATTTCGAAGAAGAACAATCTCGAAAAAGTTTAAGAGATATGCTCCAGTCGATGACGGGGGTTGTGTTCGAGAACTCAGTGCCCCTCTCTGAAGACAACACACAGTCGAGCCTATCTAAGCTGGAAAGCATGGTCAACTCTTTAAGACTTTCGAAAATATTGAAATCGAATGAGCAGAAATCCGATTTCGCATATAAGATCCTCATCAAGAACAATTATGAACAACTGACACCTCTTTGGGGAAAGATAGCAGAAGATTCTGAGGATATCTCTGCAGAAGAGTTTCATGAACATTGTGATAAGCAAGGCTCAATTCTTATTTTGGTTAAGACCAAAAACGGCTGTGTATTTGGAGGAGTCTCTCCCCTAGGATTCGATTCTATCAACAATTACTTCGGATCCGAATATGCTTTCTTGTTTTCATATGCAACTCCAACAGGAAGGGAACCAATTATTTGCAAGATTAAGCCCGAAAAAGCTTCCTTTGCTGTGAAGAATAATGAAGCCAAGTATAGCCCTGGCTTTGGGCAGTCTAATAAAAGTGATTTGTTTATCAGCTTCAAGAATTTATCAAAAAGTTATAGCCATATTGGTTCAGTCTACGAATTCCCAAAAGAGTTTGTCAAGGACGAAGAAGGTTACAACACTCCAGAGACTTTCTTTACTGGTTTGACCACAAATTGGAGAATTGAAAATATTGAGGTGTTCTCAATCGGAGAGTAACGGTATTTATAATCCCTATTAAATATTTCACAATAGTCTATCTTCTCTAGGGGTTTTGGGGTTTTGGGGTTTTGGGGG